CTCTGGCCTCGTGCACTTTCTGGGTGAGGCGACACCCCACCCTGCTTCGACTTGTTCTCCTTGCATTGCACCCACTGTCTAACGAGTTCCAATGAGATGAACCAGTTACCTCAGTTGGAAATGCAGAGATCACCTGCCTTCTGCACCACTCTCGCTGGGAACTGCTAACCAGAGCTGTTCCTATTTGGCCATCTTGGCAGAAAATCTGAAAATATATATTTTAATCATAGCTTAAAACAAACTGTAGAAGAAGTACTAAACCTGTGATGTCTGACCTCAATTATGAAGTTGGGAATAAAATGTTGATTCCAATAAGTTTAACAATCTAGACAGCCTCTTGTGTAATTGTGTATTGTGGTAGCCATGGAGATATGCCATTCCCCAAGAGAGTGACTGACTTTCCCACACAATCATCTTACCTGTCCCTCTTTCACAGGTGAGTAGAGACTCACAGTGGAGACGCTTTCTCTGTCTTCTCCTGCTCCAACTTCCCTTTATCTATCATAGGTATAATCCTTGATACATCTCAGACTTTCAACTAGTCTTGGCATTTGATCCTTGGAGGGTTAAATCAACATAAGTATTTATTTTCCCTTGCCACATGAGCTTGTGGTGAACAAATCTTGAGACACATTTCACATGCCTTGGTTTTATGCTATACATTAAACTGTATTCCTGAGAAAATGTTTTTTTAAGGCAATCATTTATATTTCAAATAATTTTTGCCCGTTGCTAATGAGATGGTTTGGGTCAAGTGTATACATACTAAGAAAAATGCTTATGGTTCGTTCGTTCTTATCCAACTCATATGACTTTTGCTCACTCTTTTTCATAACATCTATATCTAAGTGAGTTTCTATTTCACTCAGGCCTTCTCTCTGACCTCTTGAATTTTAAAGTATTTAGTTAGCTGCACAAACGAAGCTGTCACATCTGCTCCAGGTGCACCATAGATATCAGTAGGATGAACTATATATAAAAATACATTTTGAAACAAGGTAAGAAGACCTATTCATTATCTTTGATCATATCCTTTAAAGGTCACTGACTTTGGTGGTTGCTAGCATTAGTTTTTGAGATATACAGTCTGAAAGGATAGCATAAACTAAAAGTTGATCTCTTCCATAGTCTATTACATGTGTAAACCTAATAATGCCAGATAACTTCTTGAACTTCTTGATTATCTGCCAACTTCTGAACAGATCACATTCCAGTTGTCATCTTAGGGAAGGTTTTTAAACCCAGCAAAGTAGAGCTTAGGAGATTTTAATGCTCATCTGAATGTGGGAATCACGGAATATTTCATTCCCTGAATGACTTAGTCATGGACTTGGGCACATCAGTAAAAAGTAATACTTGGCAAAATATCTCCAGGATGAATTGACTACAGACAGTCCCAGACTTACCATAGTTCAACTTAATGATTTTTCAACTTTATGATGGTGTGAAAGCACTATGTGTTCAGTAGAAACCGTGCTTCAAATTTGAATGTTGATTCAAATTTTTTATAATATTAATATAAAATAGGCTTTGTGCTAGATGCTTTTGGCCAACTGTAAGCTAAGGTAAGTGTCCTGAGTATGTTTAAGGTAGGCTAGGCTAAGTTACGATGTTCAGTAGTTAGGTGCATTAAGTGTATTTTCAGTTTACAGTATTTTCAACTTACAAAGGATTTATCAGGATATAACCCCATCATAAGTAAAGGGGTATGTGTAGATTAAAGTTAACCATGAAATAGACCTAAAGCCACATAGTAGATATTTACCTTTCTATAAAATAATAGGTATTGACAATTATAGAATGTCCACTGTATGTCAAGCGATATATTCTCTATACCTCATCTCTTTAATTCCTGCAATACTCTTAGAGGCAGGTAATGTTACTTCCTCTATTGTATATCTGAGAATCCTAAGGATACAGAGGTGAAATGATTTGCCTAAAGTCCCATTTCAAACAAGTGACAGAGCCTAAATTTCAATCAACATCCACTTGATTCAGAGCAGTATGTTTATAGTACAACGCGGCTTCATTTCCTATCTGGACTGCTGACTGAATATATTGTTGATACCGTTTCAGTCCAATGCTCTGTTCCTGGTTGCAGGACATTTAATGCTTGTAGGAAATAGGAGATTCCCCGAACTGTTCCTATATCCAGCAATATAAGAAACTTTAAAGACATAAGATTACTTGTTTGAATGAATTAGAAACAAGTTATTAGTGTTGCTCACTCTAATCCTACAATGAACCTACATGATGAGAGATATTAATATTGAACTAATTATTAGGAAATGAAAAATAAAACAAGCCTGGGCATGGTGGCTCATGCCTGTAATCCCAGCACTTTGGGAGGCTGAGGTGAGCGAATTGTGAGATCGGGAGATAGAGACCATCCTGGCCAACATGGTCCAACATGGTGAAACCCCATCTCTATTAAAATATAAAAATTAGCTGAGTGTGGTGGCGCGTGCCTGTAATTCCAGCAACTTGGGAGGCTGAGGCAGGAGAATCACTTGAACCTGGGAGGCAGAGATTGCAGTGAGCTAAGATGATGCCACTACACTCCAGCCTGGTGACAGAGTCAGACTCCATCTCAAAAAAAAAAAAAAAAAAAAAAAAAAAAAAAGAGAGAGAAAAGAAAAAGAAAACGAATAAAGAATGCATAAAATATGGTAGAAGGTATTAACGAAGAGGGCAGGCAATGGTTCATTTGGAATTGGACAGAGTGTTTACATCTGTATTAGCAACAAAGCTTGCATCCAGTCCTTTTTGCATATAGACAACAAGCTTCCCAATTCCAGTCTCTGTGGCACTGTACACATTGGCTCTATCTATAAACATCCAAATCCCTGAGCTTTAAATACTATTCAATCTTCAAGGTGATTTTTCTTTCTTTTATATGCAATAGTCTTGCAGGCTTGGATTTCCAGACATTAAATAATGGCACTTTCTGCCACCAAGTGGTAATAATACTTCCTTGCACCACTAGATAAGTTATTGTTCTCCGTAGTATTCAGTTTTTTAAAAAAACATTACTGAATTTCTATGATGTATTAGAAACTGACTAGATTTTTTTTCTGAAAATAAAATATATATGTATCCAAAACTTGGTATTTCATACTTAGAAAAAAACTAGTCACATCAAAATGCCCCTGTGGATTTATAAATATTTCGTCTTATACCATTTAACTATACCAGTGGTTCTTGACCAGCGGCGATTGTGCCCTCCACCCCCAATCTGGTGCATTTGATAATACCGGCAGATATTTTTCGTTGTCACAGTAGAGGGTGGTGGGATCTCTGATTGACATCTAATCCCTAGATTAGATGCCAGGGATGCTGCTAAGCATTCCATAATGCACGGGAGGCCACCCACACCAAAGAATTATCTAGCCCAAAATGTCAGAGGTGAGTTATTGAATAGATGGCAAATAAATCAGAGTCATGATGGTTATGAGCCTTTCCTCACCTGCATGCTTTCTCATTATGTGCTTAGTGGGCTTCACACTAGGTCCTCACCTTTTATGATGTTCTTAAGACATTAATTATAGTTTCAAAGCCAGGGTTCCCATTGTGTTATTTAAAATGTTACGTGGAACTTTTTATGCATTTCACAAATTCATAAATTAGTGGGGTTTGAATGATGATAGAAGCTAGCTAGACCACTTCCTTCAGTGTCAGACAAGAATATAGAAAGTTGAAGCAGCTTACCTACTGTTCCATGGCTAGCTTGTAGCAAAGCCAGATAGTGTTTATCCTTCAGGTTCGCTTCAAGTCCTCTTTTTGAGAACCTAAACTGCCTCTCTTTGGTTAATTTAATAAATTATATAATTCATCAGAGGGATTTTAAAATTCAGTATAAGTTAAGATATATGGACACTTACTAACATCTTTAGAGTGAGTGACAACAAAAGGAAATAATAGATACATGAAAAATGATGCTATATAAATAACATTTCCAGATTTCTGTATTACAAATCTTATCAATCTTGCAATCTTGCCATATTTTTCATAATTGTGCTATTACCATAACTCAGCTATACCATAATTGCTTATGTTCATTTATACCCAGAGCCTAGCACAGGACCCTCAATATATACTTGCTTAATAGATGAATGTCTGAGTAGCTGTTTTAATTCAATATGTGGCTAAAGTATCAAAGCATTAAAGTTAATACAAGGATTTTAATTCAGTCTGATTGATTGAGCTTTACTTACAGCAACCTAGATGTCACCAGGAAATATAAATCACTGCATATCTTTGAAGACAATCTCGAGGTGTCTCTTCCTCCAGAAAACAGCTGTGTATCATAAACATGCAAATTCAGAGCTGCTTGTTTTACTTCAGTTCTTCTACTTTTTTCCTTTAGAAAATGTATTAAAGAGGTTTTAAATCATCCTCCTACGTTAATATGTTATGCTACCACCTCTATTGAAGATTGCTTTCACTATTTCTTATTTGCCTATTCAGGTAAATATATTTTAACTTAAAAAAATGCTGCCCAAATGGGATAGTATGCAGTACCTAAAATTCAAACATTAAGTAGAAATTTTTTGGCGACTGAATTCTTTTCCACCACAGTCTTACCCTGGTGTTTCTTCAGGAGCCACATCAGACCCTGCCACAGGTGTGGATGTCTTAGTTAATCAGGTGGCACTGTTGATCCCTCATCAATGAACTATTTCCTCAATTTGCTTGACTCTTCCTCTACAATGGATGTAGCTGTGAAAAGATTAAAGCATGACTTTCATGACAACATGACTGGCACTCACAAGTCTAAGAGACTCCTCAGACAACCTCTGATAGCCATTAAGAAACTGAACACACCTAAAGTGTCACTGATTTGTCTTGCAAGACAGAATATTAAGCAAGTTAAATGGCACTATACAGATAGATAATTTGTGTATATGAGACTATTTATTAGTTAATTGTATAACGTCTCATTACATTATTTAAAAGAAAATTTAAATAGGAATTCATTTCTAATTATTTTCAAATTACAGGTTGGGCATAATAAACCACCAAGTGTAAGGAACTCAGAAGATTTCCATTTAAATAGTTTCAATAATCCGCCAAGACAGTATCAGGTAAGCATGGATTTTTAAAGAAATAAGAGTTGTTATTTGTAATATTTAGATTCTTAAACTATGTGATTGTTTAAATGAAAATAAAGTATTAGGATATTTTCCTCACTATCAAATAATGCATTACTTCAACAAGTATTTATCAACTACCATATACCAGGCATTTTGTAAGTGCTAGAGAGATATAAGTTAAACAAAAAAATAGTCTTGGAATCAGATCTGAGAGTCTCCATGTTCAATGAAAAAGACAAACCTTAGAAAAAAACATAAAGAAGAGAGTAAAATTCATGTCAAACTCCACCATTGAGAAACAAAGACTACTTGCTTTTGGTAAAAATTCTGCCAGGTGATTATATGTCTATATATGTGTAATTTTACATATATCTTAATAATATTATGAAATGCATATATAATACTATATAAGAGTTAATTGTACTTATATAATGAGTAATAGTTTTTAGCTTGTGATTTTTCTCTCCACAAAATATATATTCCTGTTAATTCAGTGAATGTATTATATTCCTTTATATAAATATAAGGCAATTTACTAAAAATAATTCCTTACTGATGGACATTTAAAGTTTCATTTTTTCTAACTAGTTCTATGAACATACTTGTTCATGTAATAAATCATATCTTTAGAAGAGATTCTTGAAGGTAGGGACTTACTATCTACCATTTAACCTTGACTTAGGTGTAAAATTTTGTTTAGTTCTATATCCATCCAGTACTTTCTGAGCATCCACTAAGATTCCTTCTTTTAATGAAAAAAAAAAATAGTAAAATCAATGTTTGCGTGATAGAGGTCAAGTTACTTGAAAAATTTGTTACATTGAAACTAGTCTTTCCCAAATTAATAGAAAGTTTAAAATAAAAACTGGTTCCATTTTTTGGTCAGACACATGGGGCTTAAATGAGTGGACATTAGCTTGATTCCCCATTTCCTTGAGCAATAGTGTACATCTTTCATCAACCCCACTAAAAGACTGTCTTGCTCTAATACTTTTCAAATAAAGTACAAGAAATGGACATAAGGGATTACATGTTTGCTCTAAACATTCTTTTCTAAGAATTCATTTTTGAGTTATTAGTCCAGGTGATACGGAACTGCTTTAAAAAGGAAAGCAAGGCCAGGCACAGTGGCTCATGCCTGTAATCCCAGCACTTTGAGAGGCCTAGGTGGGCAGATTACGAAGTCAAGAGATTAAGACCACCCTGGCCAACATGGTGAAACCCCGTCTGTACTAAAAATACAAAAATTAGCTGGGGATGGTGGTGTGCTCCTGTAGTCCCAGCTACTTGGGAAGCTGAGGCAGGAAAATTGCTTGAACCTGGGAGGCGGAGGTTGCAGTGAACTGGCATCATGCCACTACACTCCAGCCTGGCGACAGAAAGAGATTCTGTCTCAAAAAAAAGAAGAAGGAAAGAAAAGCAAAATGTGGAGATTGCATGCATCCTAGCTGAATCACCTTAGTCTTTGTTAGCCATCACTTCCTCCCTGTGGTCAGCCCTTTGGAAGACTCAGAATCTTGTTCCAAATGAAAGATTTGTCATCAACCTCAAAATGACATAGATTTCTCCTTTCTCTGTCTAGAAAATAATGAAGAGGCTCATTAAAAGATATGTACTGCAGGCCCAGGTAGATAAGGAGAGTGACGAAGTGAACGAAGGTGAGTTGAACTCAGAAACAAATCAGCCCCTGAATGTGAGTCAGGACCGGGGCCTAACGCAGAGTGGAGGAAGAGCTGCAGAGACACGTGTGGGGAGAGTGAACTTCAAGGGGAAAAGTAGCACAGGATCTCACCAGCCACCAATTCTGTTAAAGAGTAGGGAATAGGCTATTTCTCCACTGGTGGGGACAGCTGCCACTTGCTAGATGAAAAGCTATTATTCTCATGGTAGACTTGGAGGGAGGAGGAAGTGGGTGGGAAAGGCAAGGAAGGTGCTGCTGCCTCAACCCCTGATTTCTTCACCACCGTTTTCTTTTAACTTACCTTAGGAGGACTTTTGTTAATCATTCTGCTACAATCTCTTCATTCACCAAAACGTTTAGCTAAGAAAACAACCACCTTCTCCATTAGGAACTTATTTCCTTTGAAAGGATTTAAAATAAAATTGTGTGTGAAATTAGGGCTGATATCCTCTTGTCCCACAATCGCAAGTTTTTCTTCATGTGTATTATAGTTGACTTCTTATCACTCTTGCTTTCAAAGGGGAACTGAAGGAAATTAAGCAGGATATCTCAAGTCTCCGCTATGAACTCCTTGAAGAAAAATCTCAGAATACACAAGACCTAGCAGAACTTATTAGAGAACTTGGAGAGAAATTATCCATGGAACCAAATCAAGAGAAAACCAATAGATAATGCGAAGACTTCCTTAGAAATTTATATTTATTTGTCCACTTGAAGCCATATTATTTTCTGATTTTTTTTTAAGTGCCAATGTGCCCACCTTTTTTTTTTTTTTAGACAGAGTCTTGCTCTGTTGCCCAGGCTGAAGTACAGTGGTGCAAACCTAAATAACTTGGGTGATCCTATCATCTGGAACCCTAGTATGTAATTTTTTTGGTGATTAAACTCCATCGTTCAGGGTAAAAGTTGTAGATTATGATGAAAATTATGCCCAGTGGTTTGGTGCTTGTTTTATAAACTGCTTTCTTAGATGTAACTGTAGTGATGATGTCATTGCTATGTAGTGTCTGCCGGGAAATGAGTTCCAGTGGGCAGAGGCTGACCCATGTTATTGCCCACGTGATTTTTCCTCTGAAGGTTATTTCAGGTTCTTTCTTGCCTGCTCCGTGGATCCCCTGCTGGGGACTCCTGGCTCTGAAATTTGGGGAAAAGTAGTCCCGCCCTTTAAAGAATGCTGTTTAACCATCATTTACCCTATTTATCCCTCAAAGCACATGATGGACACTGTTCATACAAAATGGACTTTTATCTATGTAAAATTTTCTGATTCATCTATTTGAAAACGTTATACTTAATAATGAAAAAGAATTTTTCCTCCACTGAACCCTGGAAACGTGGTCCAGTTTGTGCGTGTGTAAATGTGTACACACATACATAAAATACATAAAATGATCTATTTCTTTTGTGACTAATGTGGAAACAAAAGCTCTTTATGTTATAAATTTTTATTGTGACTAAAAAATTACTGTGTAAATAACTACCTTTTATTGGAGAAAAAAATCAAAACTGCAAACAATGTGGTTATTTGGTTCTATTTTAGCACAATTTTGTGCCATTTCTGGGAGCAATGTATGAATCCCCACACTTAGCCACTGAATGTAAAGGAGAAAAATAACATGGGAATTTAAAAATACTTATCTGTTATTCTTACTATGTTCTATCCTCTATTCAAATATATAAAACAGGAATTGGCATTCATGTGCATTACCAAGAGGTTTTTGTTATTACTTACTGATGATGTGAACTGGTGTCTTAAACAACTAAAAGAGAGACATGAAAGTTCATCTGTTTACTCAAAGACCATTGGCATTCAGAGGATGCTGGACATTAACTGGAAATGCTACTTTCAATTCAATAAAGGGATATTTCAAATGCAAACCCTTTTAACTTCATCTTAAAGATGAAATGGTCACAGAAAAGCTGTTTAGCTCCAACTTTGGCTTAATTTAAATTAAATAACATTTATGTAATCAGATCAGAAAATACAGCTGAAAATTTATATTCAGTGATTTTGTATTTGTGGGTACTACTAATGGAAAAGTAATTTAGTGATATATAAAGATCGATTTTCAAATATTTTGTGACAATATTTGAATCAGCAGTTGTAAAAAATCAACCTCGTGCCAAATGCACTATCAGAAAATTAAAATAATCTAACATCCACAGAGTGTGTGCTGTGCTGTATGAGAGATGGGCCGTCATACCAAGGATGCTCTGTGACAGCACATGGGCTTGACTCCAGAAGACTCAAGAGAAGATATTCAGATTCCTCAGTGTCTTTTAAGTTTGATTGATTGACCTGACAAGATATAAGTTTTGGGAAACTCAACAGGCACGACTGTGTGTTCCTCAGCAAAAGACAATACCCTTCAGGTGTTTCCTATGGTTCAAATTAATGTCCTGAAGTCAGATTTTCATCAAAATGCAACTGAATTGACATCTTTTCTAATTTTATCTTCCAACTTAGAATAATTAGCATTTCTTCTAAGTTGAAAGATGAAAAGGGAAATTAAACATATTTTAAGAAAGCTTTTAAAATTCCAACAAGAGCTTAATTACAGGCACATTACCAAAATGCTGTCATAAACATGGGGAAAGTTGAAAGACCACTGGCTTTAAGTCCTACCTTCATGTCACAGTCAGCTTCACCTTTGAAACTAAGATGATTTTATCCCGATTGCTCTCTCTGTCCTATTTCTCCCCTCCGAGTGAATGCTTTCTGGAGGCTCATCCACCCATGAGGAGGATAGAGCTGAGCTGCTTTTCACTGTGACCACACAACTGCTCCCTGAGGGCTGAGACCTGCCCACTCTTCATCTCACCACAGATCGACCACCAACGAATAGAACAAAGTCGCTGTTTTTCTCCATCAAGGTCTGGGTTTCCTCTCCACTGCTCTTATTACTCTGAAACTGAGAAATAACACAAACTAGTATGATTTTATGAGGCATATCAAAGAAATTACCAGAATCTGCTGTCTGCTTAAAACTACCAGAGATTGAAAGGAGAAGAAAAGGAGTGTTTGAACTCAAGGTACTTGCAACCAAATGGGGTAACGGTCCTTAATACAAACACGAGAAATGTTAAATATTTTCTATGAATTATCCAACTTAATCTAACTTAATGCTTACATTGACTATATAGGTAAATGCTACCATTGCTCTCATACTGGAAAGGAGACAACTGAGGCAGTTAGACTCTAGGTAACTTGCACATAGAGCATCAAAGCCAGGAATGAACACTATGCCTGCTTTGCATTTACTGGAGGTCTTGATGAGCCATAGGGGAGCGTTGTCGTCTCACTGTGTTATAAGCTTGTATTTAAGTTTCTAGGTGAGGAAAAATACATGGTGTCTGAACACCCTAGCTTCCATTATATGTCCAATCCAGGGATCAATGAGCATTAAGCAAAGAAGGCTGTGGGTTAAGAGAGGATTTGGCTTCAAAAGAATTGTAGATATAGAAGAGGAAAAATATCTCTTCCTTACCCAACCTATGTTCATGGCTGCGGCCTCTATAACCAGACAGGTTAACAAGAGAAAAGCATACAAATTTATTTAGCATGTTTTATGTGACACATGAGCCTTCAGAAGTGAACAAAGACACTCTGAAACTTATGCATTTTTATGTTAAGTTTGACAAAGAGTGAACAGTCATGGAGAAATGTAATTGGACAAGGGGGTATTATGTAATGGTATTGAAGTGGTAGAAACTTACCAAGGTCTATTCAGATTCTTCTCTTACTTATACAGAAATCTATTTACAGTCAATAAGCCAATAAGGCCTGGGGTTTTAAGAGATGTAAAGCCTGTGTGTGTGTCTGTGTGTGTGTCTTCTCTGTGACTCCGTGTCTTCAGAGATAAGGAGGTTCCTATTTCCCATGTATAGGAAGGGCACTTCTGGAATCAGGGTCTCATGACCTACTTCAGTAGAAGATCAGAAAATTCTTTCTAGGTTCTATGACCTGCTTCAGGGGATAAGGGTGAGGGGAAGGTGAGAATAATTTTCCTGCTTCTGCTGTTTCTCAAATTCCTTCAGCGTAAAATATTGAATATGCTAGGGTGTCATATTTTAGAATAGCATGTCTTGAACTCTGTCATAGTTATAAAAAAGAATAAAAGATAGAGATGTGTATTTCTTGGCAGGGACAGTATGAGCAAAACCAAGAGTTGGGCATGAATGTGGGACACTTTGGGAGTTCTTTGGAGAGCAATAGTAAATTCAATGGCTATGAGTGAGCAGAATGGATTAACTCAGAAGTAAATGTTTTCACTTTATTTGGACAGTCTATCCCACCCTTCCAGGTCTGTTTCAGTATGAAAGAATCTTATCGCCATGTCAATAGTGAAAACAAACCACACTTTCAATTAAAATGGAGAGACTATATGCCAGGCAGTCCCCTAATGAAATCACTGTCAGGATTGATTACCAGCTTCAGACCAAGGAAGAGCCCCAGACACAGATGATGTTTCTCCAGGTGGCACGTTCTGAGCATGCCCTGCACCAGCTCTGATTTGAACACATAAATATTGTCTCCCTCTTGGCTCTGAAACCCTCCTTCATCACTGCGTGCCAAGCAAGGTTTGTGAGCGTCATGCCAATCTTCCTGGCAGCTCTGGTGAATGGTGCTGAATATGAATTCCTATACTTTAGAGTCTCTGCCCTTTGATGTAAACAGCACATATTTCCAGCTTAATCAAAGGTTGTGCAGGAGTGCAGCCCAGAACCCTAAAATGGATGGAACTGAAACTTCAGCTGTTATCTGTTATCATACAAAACACTGATTCCTAGTCCAAGTCATGACTTCCATATGTGGCTAGCTGAGGTAAGAGACACAGCACACTCTCTAAAAGACCTGATAATTAAAGCAATTTTTTTTTCTTGAATCATTGCAATGATTGCTTGAATTTTCTTCCTTGCTCTATGTTTGTAGCTACAGCTGTAAAAGTTTCCAGAGACACTTCTTAAAAACACTTTCCTGGGATGGATTTAATGATAAGACCTATCAAAAATATTTGATTTTAGAGATTTTTATAGAGCTGAGTAAATAGCTAAAGACAATGGCCAACTGTATGATAGTTTTTTTTAAAAAAAATATTAGTGCCATATGATGGATAATTAATTTATCCAGTATAAGTGGATCATAGGGATAGTAGCTCATATTTTTCAAAATCTCATGAAAAGTACATGTCAAAAGGCACCTTATTCAATGGTAAAGGTAATTATATGTACTAAGGAGCTCACATATTCATAATGACTTTAATACTTTCTAAGTAAGTATAATGTTACCTAAAACACTGAAGAAAATAAACAGGAGAAAGATTGCTATTCTAATCTATTTGGGCTGCTAAAATAAAATACCATATAGGTAGCTTATATACAGCAGATATTTATTTTTCACTCTTCTGTGGGCTTGGAAATCCAAGATCAAGGTGCTGGCAGACTGAGTGTCTGGTGAGGGTCCACTTTCTGATTTTTTACAGTGTCCGCTTGCTGTGTTTCCCATGAAGGAAGGGGCAAGTGAGGCCTCTAGGGACTCTTTCATAAGGGCACTAATCCCACTTGTGAGAGCTTTGGCCCCATCTTCAAATGCAATCACATTGGGAATTAGGATTTCTACATATAAACGGGGGGAGGACACAAGCATTCAGATCATAACAACGTGTTTGTATAAAATTGAAGAATTTTTTAACCTTTCTTCTTTTTCTAATGTCCACCCTGGAAGTCACAAGACTTTCATCCTTGCACACTGATAAATTATAGGAGTAGTGTATAAAAAGTCAACAAAGAGGTATATCCTCTGGGAAATGCACAGAGGGCACGCTATTTTTTTTCCTAAATGATGAAAGAAAACCTTGATGCTGACATTCAGGAAATGAGTCTTGATTTTCATATCCCTGCATTTTTGTCCTAATTATTGTCTATGAAAATACACTCTTATACCACCATAGAAACAAATTTTTTTTTTCAAAATAAAGTAAGTTTACTTATTATGTCTCAGGCTAAAAGCACTGTGGCAATGGCCTACGTTTGCGTTAACCTTTTTAGTAGTCTATGATTCAGCCATGTGACATTTACCCTTCACTCTTCTTCAGAAAATGGATTTTCACCCGAGTAATTGGAAAAGGTCAAATTGTAAAGTGTTTTTTTACGTTTTGAAAAATGTTAACATGTCATGTTGTTGCTACTCTTTGTTAACACTGAGAAATATGTATACATACACATAAACATATACATGTAAAGTCTGCCATGATATATATTGGATACCCAAAGAACATATATATATATATATGTAATTGTATATATGCCTAAAGACATTTTTCAAAACACAGCTATCTATAATTCTATAAAAAATATAAATATGGATCTTTTGCTTTTCCCATGTATCCTTTTACTTTTTTTTTCTTCATTTCAATGATTTTATTCTCTTTGAAAAGAGAGTAAATAATATAGTCTCTCTATATTATTTACCTCTTCTGAGTTCTTTTCATCCCAGTGGTTCAGAGTACAGCATCTGCGGCCAGGAGTAGGGGTAAATCTCAGCTCCGACAGTAGCTGTATACTCTTCAACAAGTTTAACCTTTTTGGACCTCATTATCCGAATTATGCAGGAGGGGGAAAAAAAAACAACTAATACCTCCTACATTGAGTTTTTGTGAGGATTAAATGAGTTAATACCTTTTAGGCTGGTGATAAGCATTCAGTTAACACCAGCAATCACAGAGAAAGCATGTGGCTCCATAATTTCTTTTGCCACTCTGTCTTAAACAGCTCTCCGTTAAACCTCATACATCTATTGAAATTTAGGTTTTAACTCATGTCTGTCTGATCGCTTGGTACAACATGTCTAAGGCATTGTGATAAGAAGAATTCTGAGGCCCAGTCAGAACTGGTAGGAAAGAATGGCATAGAGACAATGAAAAAAGCTTCCCATGGACATGGGAAGCTGCCTCTCATGCCACCTATTCGCCATTTTTGAAAAAGATGAGTCACATTTGGGCAGTATTTGGGAAAATTTCAAAGCATTTTTATTACTTTTGAGCATGATAACTAACATCATTTTATAACAGAATCATTCATAAGGTAGCTTAGGGCAGCTTCTGTATGAGGTCCAGCTCACAAAACTTTTATTTAAAATCTGTGAAATTCATTGCAGTGCT